TTGAAATGCAGGGTATTGGCTTGGTTTGGGAGTCTTACAAGTTACTTATTGTTACGTTTTGAAATGCAGGGTATTGGCTTGGTTTGGGAGTCTTACAAGTTATTTATTGTTACTTTTTGAAATGCAGGGTATTGGCTTGGTTTGGGAGTCTTACAAGTTACTTATTGTTACGTTTTGAAATGCAGGGTATTGGCTTGGTTTGGGAGTCTTACAAGTTAGATCCATGCTTACTTTGACTCTTATTGTTATGTTTTGAAATGCAGGGTATTGGCTTGGTTTGGGAGTCTTACAAGTTACTTATTGTTACGTTTTGAAATGCAGGGTATTGGCTTGGTTTGGGAGTCTTACAAGTTAGATCCATGCTTACTTTGACTCTTATTGTTACGTTTTGAAATGCAGGGTATTGGCTTGGTTTGGGAGTCTTACAAGTTAGATCCATATGTACAGAAATTAGCAGAAGCAGTCTTCAATTTTCAAGAAAAGGTATGTTAAGCTAAAAAAGGTCATGCTAAAAAAAAAAACTTTTGTAAAGTCTATTCATTAATACAGATTCTATTTGTATACTGTATTTGAAGTGCATACAGACAGAAGCAAAATAGTCCTGAACCTGAAATTGTAGGAGCCAAATCATTTCATGTTATGTAACTTTATATACGAACTTTAACGTCATAATAAATTTTCTGATATAATGAACACATTGCATGTCTCGTATCAAAACGCGCGTGATATGTGCTTCATTATAGTGAACACTTTACTATAACAAACTAATTGTACGTCTTCCAAAAAGTTCATTATAACAATGTTAGTGTTAGTTACATCCCATATACGATATACACAACTCTAGTTAGTTTGGAATACATCAATTGGTGTGAAGTGTTTCTATGACAACATGTATGCATTGTTATTGCAGGTGGATGATCTATTACTGATTGAGGAGAAGATAGATACTGAAGTGCGTAGTCTGGAGACATGTGCTTTTAATGTTAATATATTTGCCGAAATCTTGGGACGTATACAGAAAGATGTTGATGATCTTAATTTACACTCTTATTCTAACCTACCACAATGGGTGGCAAGACTTGATTCAGAGGTAAAGTTATTACAATGTATTCTTATTGCTATCTCTGGTTGCAGTTTGTTCTGTTATTAAATCCATTCTGCATATTGGTTTAAAATATTGCTGGTACAGTTGGTGATGCTTAACTGATGTAGTTAACACTACCCTGGCAAAGTTAGTGACACTTACACTTGGTGATGCTAACGTTAACACTACCCTGGCAAAGTTAGTGACACTTACACTTGGTGATGCTAACATTAACACTACCCTGGCAAAGTTAGTGACACTTACACTTGGTGATGCTAACGTTAACACTACCCTGGCAATGTTAGTGACACTTACACTTGGTGATGCTAACGTTAACACTACCCTGGCAAAGTTAGTGACACTTACACTTGGTGATGCTAACGTTAACACTACCCTGGCAAAGTTAGTGACACTTACACTTGGTGATGCTAACGTTAACACTACCCTGGCAAAGTTAGTGACACTTACACTTGGTGATGCTAACGTTAACACTACCCTGGCAAAGTTAGTGACACTTACACTTGGTGATGCTAACGTTAACACTACCCTGGCAAAGTTAGTGACACTTACACTTGGTGATGCTAACATTAACACTACCCTGGCAA